TTAATAATAAACTATAAATGATAAAATAAAACAACATCCAACAATTCATGATCATTTTTAAACTTCGAAAAATAAATAGTTTATTAATCATTTCACTTTTTTTTCTTAGCACATCATATACGATAAATAGTAGTTGGATGATTCATAGAGATGCTTTTGTTTTGTGAACCTAACTCGAGTTTTTGTGTCCCCATTTGTGCATTCATGATTTCATCTATTTCTTAGTTTCTTCTAGTCTTGGAAGTATAAAGTTCATATATTTTTGTGGCCATAAATAAAGATGGTGGAAGTAGTTGGCAAAATAAACAATGGGAGTTGTTGTTGTTGGATGTACATTTTTCTCTCTCTCTCTCTCTCCTCATCTATTATCACTGTCATATCACCATCACCATGCTTGTGCTTCACTTACGCAGAACCACCAACTCCTATAAAAAAAAGGTTAATGTAACTTTGTCTTTTGCTAACATCACGGGGTTATACATACACTCAAATACATTTTTAGATACTCCTCTCTTTTTTGTTGTTGTTTTATCCATTTAAAATATTTGTGTTTGATTGAATTTGCGTGCTTCATAACTTATTATATTAAATTAATAAAATTATTAGTATGTTTTAAATTATGAAATATATCATCGTGAATGTTTGGCACTACAGTTACAATTAATATTGTTAATACAAAATACGGATTCATAGATATAATCTAATAAAAAATAAGATTAAATTGGAGTTTTCTAAAACAGAAAATAAAAGTAGAAATTTATGTTTAGAAAATATAGTTTATCCCATGTTGACTGAGTTTGAACCTCTGATTGTACCCTCTGTTATTCTGTCTTCCATGTTTAACAAACAAACAACTTTTACGACAAATTTTAGTAGGAGATGCGAACTGGATTTATTTTGACTTTGTTTTCTCGGGAATCGAGGTTTGAATCCAATGTTTGGGAAGCCGAAAGAGAGTATTCAAGTTTTTGCTTCAATTTATGAATACTGATATTTTCACATCTCATTTATTTATATTATATTTGTAAAATTATTGAATTAAAATAAAATTAATTAAAAATTATTATTTTATTAATAAATTCAGTTGTTGACGAGTTTAATGGAAAAATTAGATTGTCAGTTAATATTTTCCCAATTTCATTGTTGCTTGTATATGTATCGTCGTTAATGATTAATTGTTGCATTAAAGTTACGTTTTTTTTATTCAAACTTATTTTCGACTAAATGTACGTTTAATATGATTTTAAAGAAAAAAAAGTTTTTTTTTCAAAAATTAATTAATTTGAGAAATAAATATAATAAATATATCAAAGATATCTCTAATTAGAATAAACAATTAAACTTTAATTTTGTTCTAATAAAAATTTCTTTAATAAATTTTAAAGAATCTATTCTCTCACTCTTTTTATTTTTATTTTTTTTATAAATTACTTAATAAAATAATTATAAAAAAATTAAACAATTTACGATGTCACATGAAATTTTTTTAATAAAAAACTTAAAGTAACTAATATTTTATTTAATTAACTCATCAAATTTTTTTATTAAAAATGCTTTAATTTCTTTATAAATATATTAAAGAGAATTTCTTATTCATTCAATATATAAAAACTTTTATACTCGCATTTGAGCATTTAAGTCTTTTCCATTATATTCCGTTGATTTTCTTGAAATATTGGGACATTTTGACTAGTTTTTTCCTACCACATTCGATTTTCCCACTATGACAAATAAATGAAGAAATAAATACCACGTGATTGTCTTCTTTGAATAGCCAATCACTAAGTCAAAGAGTTTGACTAAGATCCTATGCAGCGTAGTCTAATCTCAAGGGTTTTTATAATTAAGAAATGGACAATATTTTGGTATGAAATTATTTTTCAGAGAGCAAAAACAACACACAATTTTGAAACAAAAGGAGAAGTTGTGTAACGTGTGAGTACCATTTAGGAAAAGGAAATTAATTTACTCTTTTGTATTGTCATTATAAAGTTATACTGTTTTCATTTATTGGGTCTCTTTTACTTTGTCACTTATTTCACAATAAATGCACTATAAAACATATCTGTTTCATATAAAACGAAAAGTAAATTTCTGTTTGAGAGAAGAATGGAAAAAGAACAAAAAAATGGAATGTGTTAATGAGAATGACATGATGATTAAATTAAATGTGATGATGCATGTGATGTGAGGAATCAAATTTTTCGAGGGATATATATATAATAAAGATACCTCACGAACAAAAAGAAAGTAAAGTTGAATTTTTCCTAATTTCCAAGTTTTTTTTTTTATTCATAACTCACTTTTGCACTGTTTATAGATGTTAAACGTTTAAATAGTGATGAGTTAGAAGAGAAATGTATAAAATTAATTATAAGAGAAATCAAATCGACAAATTTTAAGCATGGAGTTTGTTCTAAAAAAAACTTCTTACAAGGATAAATCTAATAAAAAATTATTAAGAGTTTTAATAAAAGAATGTGTATTGTTTTATAGTATTTTTCTATTTAATTTGAAACTCATGTCAAAATATTTATTACAAGACTAAAATATTCTTATAGATAATTTAACTTCATTTCTTTACTCAAAGTAATCATTGGAGAGAGAGCTTTTTTTTCTCTCAGTTTATTCTTTAAAGTTGTATCCATATTTTGGTATCTACTAACTCAAAATGGTTAATTCAAATAGTAGTAAAATGAGTTGTATCATTCCTATAACAAGTACTTTATACATTAGATTTTATTGTCTATTTTTCCATGTCATATCTCATTTTTCTCTCACTAATTATATAATTTATTTAACAAATAACATTTTTCTAGAAAAAAAAAAAACATGAAAACAAAAGATAGGAATCGGGAGAAAACCATAAAATTACTTTCTTTCCCTGGTCATGTGACTTGCTATTTTTTGAGAGATCTTGGCCGTTTAAGGAGTTACCACACAGAATCATAGTTGTAGTACTTCGTGTGCATTGTTCTCTGACTTTTCACACTCTCTCTCTCTCTCTGGTTTAGTCAAGAAGCAAGAAAAGCGTCACTGTGTGTGATGCATTGCTCTGCTGTCCACTCCGTTCTTTAATCCATTGCTACCTTTTTGTTTCCTCTTTGGCTCTTTGCTTTTTTGTTTATATTTATCTTCAACTTTGACATAAATAATTAAAGTAAAAGGGCTCACTTTCCTGAATCTTGAGCCTTTCTTACTTCAATTTTGAACTCCCTAATGAACCATGTGTCTTCACTTCTTCTAGCCGCTATTGTAACCTCAACCTCAAAATGCCCTTCAATTTCATGCAAATTCTCTGGGCTGTTGAGCTTCCATGCTCCATTAGAGAGCTTACGCAGATTTAGATTCTCCATCAGTTGTTAATTGCTTGAGAATCTGAAGCATAGTGGAAGGCTGCAACTTGCTCAGCTTCTTCAGTGGTACTGAATCTTGCCCTGTGGTTAAGCTCTGAGCTGTTCCATGAATTCTTGTGCTTCTTCCACTTTGCCTCCTTTCAGGTGATTACTCATTGAAAAATCTTCCCTTTCCTTGTCACTGCATGCTAACTTGTGCTAGTAACTTAGTTTGCAGATCTGGAGTGTTTTGTTACAGTGGTTTTAATGAATGCTCACTTATGGCCTTCAAAATATCAAATGGGTTCCACATTGTGGATTTGGTTTCCAGGTTGTGCTTCAAAGGGAATTTAGGGGTTTCTTTCTGGTACTAGTGCTTGGTGTTTTCTTCTTGATGTGGAGTGCTACTTCTTAATGATTGGAACTCTTGGGTCTGTTTTTACTTTACGTTAGATGTTTTGTTTTTAGTTGTTGTTTTGATGAAAATTTAGTAGTTGAACGACTTTGACTCTTAGTGGCCTTTTACTTTCCTTCCTAATACATTAAATGTGGTATGTGAACAAAATTTTTGGGTCCATAATTCATTCATTTCTATTCAATGTAGAAATTCGGGTAGTTCCTCTTCCGTGCAGGAAAAATAAGGCAGGAAGGAAGCTTTGGAAGAAAATGTGTTCTGAGAATTAACTGCAGAAATGTTAGTTCAAGTTATAAAGTCACAAGAAAGCCAATTTACCTACTCCAACAACTTAATTTGACAGTAAATGTTGTTCTTGAGTTCTTTTACTTTCCTCTTCAGCTAAAATCATGGGATTCTTTTGCTTTTGGGGTTCACCTGGCTTTGTACTTGGGCCTTTTGTTGAAAAGCTTCTGCCTCTTAAAAATGGTTAATGTTCCAGTCAGTTGACTTGACTAATAGCTTTTGGCTTCATATTCTGGAGGAATAGGTGATTTAATACACCAAACATTTTCCTTTCCCTTCCTGACCAAGCTGTCTTAACATATTTTTTTTTATGATCATCTTCTTCCCTGCTTATATCTCTTTCTAATTGATTTGAAGCTATGATTTAGGTACGGGCATGTTTGTTTCAACTGTAACTTGCATATTCTTCTCGTTGGTATAGTTGTCATTTGATATCTTTTAATATCCACTGTTGAAAACTGAAAATGATGCAATTATTCTCATTCAACTTCATGTAATTTTTTTATTTTCATTTTGTCACTATTCTCTTAGTTACGCCAAACAAGGATTGTGACTGATGTACATGACCTGCTCCAAGAGGCATGTTTTCATTAGGGTTACTGCTGTTTTGTTGTTTGTAATTGTCATTCTGCAAAGTTGAAGCTACATCAGGCATTTTTAAATTATTGTCACTCTGCTGTGTCTGAAAATTAAGGTTTTTTATAACCACAAAAGGCTCCATTATTTCTCTGATGGTTATAAAAATCTTACATTAAGCAAAAAGAGATTGCAGAATTGATTCAGAGCTTGCAGCTACCTAAATATTTCTTGGTTGATTCAGATGTGCCTTTTAATGAGCTGGAATTATTCTATGAATACATTCAGAAATGTTGTCATTATAATTGATATACAGTGCTTGCTTCGTCATGCTGCTCTATTCTAATTTTGATTTGTGGTCATGGTGCTAAACCAGGAAAATATGAAGGATGGCAGTGATTATTTCAAATTCAACTGTCAATATCTTATACCTTGTCACCAAAAAACTCTCCATGAAGTTCTACTCCTCACGAGTGCATCTTTTCCTTTTCATCATTGTTATTCTTTATCCTGCGGTTATTGCTGACTTAAGTTCTGACAAGCAAGCCCTTCTTGATTTTGCTAATTCTATCCCCCATCACCGTGATCTTAAGTGGAATCCAGCTACCTCAATCTGTACATCTTGGGTAGGCGTCACTTGTAATCCAAATGGCACCCGTGTTGTTTCTCTTCGGCTTCCTGGAATTGGACTAGTTGGCACCATTCCTGCCAACACACTTGGCAAGATTGACTCGCTCAAAAATATCAGCCTCCGTGCCAACCTACTCAGTGGAAGTCTTCCTCCTGATATTACTTCTCTTCCTTCTCTACAATATCTTTTCCTTCAGCATAATAACCTTTCTGGTAACATACCTACCTCGTTGTCCACCCACCTCAATGTACTTGATTTGTCATACAATTCCTTCACTGGTGCTATTCCAAAGACATTACAAAACTTAACACAACTAACTAGGTTGAATCTCCAGAACAATTCCCTATCTGGAGAGATACCAAATCTCAATGTCACTAAGCTCAGGCAATTGAATTTAAGTTACAACCATTTGAATGGCTCTATCCCTGCTGCCCTTCAGATTTTTCCCAATTCTTCCTTTGAGGGTAACTCTCTATGTGGATTACCTCTAAAGTCATGCTCTGTAGTCCCCCCTGGACCTCCTCCATCGGCAACGCCTACCCCACCAACTCCTCAAGGACATAGGTCCAAAAGTAAACTGAGTAAGGCAGCTATCATTGCAATTGCAGTTGGTGGGGGTGTGCTATTACTTTTAGTAGCTCTCATCATTGTTCTTTGCTGTTTAAAGAAAAAAGATGATGGAAGCCCCAGAGCTACTAAAGGCAAGGGTCCTAGTGGTGGGAGAAGTGAGAAGCCAAAAGAAGAGTTTGGAAGTGGGGTACAAGAACCTGAGAAAAACAAGTTGGTTTTCTTTGAGGGCAGTTCTTATAATTTTGATCTTGAGGATTTGCTGAGAGCTTCGGCTGAAGTTCTTGGAAAGGGTAGTTATGGTACTGCATATAAGGCTATATTGGAAGAGTCAACAACAGTTGTGGTGAAAAGGTTGAAGGAAGTTGTGGTAGGCAAAAGGGAATTTGAACAGCAGATGGAGATTGTGAGGAGAGTTGGAAAACACCCAAATGTTGTGCCACTTCGTGCTTACTATTATTCCAAGGATGAGAAGCTTTTGGTTTATGACTACATCCCAAATGGCAATCTATCAACACTCTTGCATGGTATGCATTTCTGTTTCTCTCCTTTTTTCAGTGAAGACTTTTAAACTTGTTTTATTTTAGTTTTCTTTTATTCTGTATTTGAGTTTATACACATTATGCATGAAATTTTACGTAAAAATTGTGTTGAACTTCATCATATTGGAGTAGAAGGACTGAACCTATGATTGTTAAATAAGTGTAACAAAATAATTGGGAAATCGATGTCTGACATCTCCATTGAATTTTAACATATTGTGACTATGAAATGTTTTGAAATCGGTGATCCATTGATTCATTAGGAATTGATGAGACTTCTAATCCATTATATTTAGGCTAAATTAAATTAATTCCATGCTCTTCATTGCATTGAGCCACTCAATTTGAAGTTATGTATATATATGTTTGACCTTATAAGCAAAATGAATTAAGTTTTGACTGATTTTAGTTCAACATGCTAAAACTAGTCGGTACACCATTAACAACTAGTTGTGTGATATAAAACCAATTGATGAAGAAATAAAATACAATACTAAACACAAAATCATAGCAGCCATTAGTTGTTTTCTATGAATAACTGCCATGCAGTTTCTATCACACAGAACTCAGAACTACTAATACAAGTTATTTTATATCACATATACCCCTGACAATAGCTGCCTCCAACATCAATGGATCCTTCCTAACCCACTACACGTTATCGGTTCCCATCATAATGTGCCTGCAACTGAAACTGCACATAGTTTCCTGACATCATCATAAATAACAGCTATTCGTTTCGATCTTCACAGGATTTTATTGTTTAGAATCAAAGCAGTAGAAATATGGCCAAATTTGAACGAGATGAAATTTGAACGAGATGAAATTTGTTGTCATATGTTGGGAATTATTCTATTGTTTGAATATGTCTTGAGGATAAGCTCATTTTCTACACACCTTTGATATAATTTACCTTGTTAAGTTGTTATGGTATGTGGACATGAGTTGAATTGGATCTATATTCTGACAGGTAACAGAGCAAGCGGAAGAACTCCTTTAGATTGGAACTCCCGAATAAAAATCTCCATTGGAATTGCGAGAGGAATTGCTCACATACATTCAGTTGGTGGTCCAAAATTCACTCATGGAAATGTGAAATCCTCGAATGTCCTTCTCAACCAAGATAACGATGGCTGCGTCTCTGACTTCGGCCTGACCCCACTTATGAATGTTCCTGCAACCCCTTCTAGAGCTGTCGGCTATCGAGCCCCTGAGGTGATTGAAACGCGTAAGCACACTCACAAGTCAGATGTGTACAGTTTTGGTGTTCTCCTTCTGGAAATGCTGACCGGAAAAGCGCCACAACAGTCTCCAGGACGGGATGACATGGTTGATCTCCCAAGGTGGGTGCAGTCTGTTGTTAGGGAGGAGTGGACAGCTGAGGTTTTTGATGTGGAGCTGATGAGGTACCAAAACATTGAAGAAGAAATGGTGCAAATGTTGCAAATTGCCATGGCCTGTGTGGCAAAGGTTCCAGATATGAGGCCTACCATGGAGGAGGTAGTGAGAATGATTGAAGAGATCCGGCAATCCGATTCGGAAAACCGGCCATCATCGGAAGAGAATAGATCCAAGGAGGAATCAACTGCTCAAACTCCATAATTAACTCTGCCCTTTTTTTTTTCTTGTGTTCCAAGCAAATTGATTTCTTGAACTTGTTTTTTTTCAGGAAGCAACATTCAGTGGTATATAAGAGTGCATGAAACAGTTCTCATTCTCACATGGAATTACTTCTGTTGTTTTATTCGCTAGGAAGTTTTATTTTATTGGATTCTTGTGTATTAACGTTGTGATTCAATTGATGATCTTCATTCAAGAACAATCCATCTCCTTTACTGTACTGATTGTTAGAAATGTGTATTTCTGAATCACCAAATCATGCCATGGTTAGGTAATGATATGATAAATACTCAATATCTTCTCTTATGTTTATTCATCTTTCAATGACAGTGTGGCGGTGTGCTAATATACGATAAATTAAATATTCAATTTATTTATTGTATAATTAGTTTGCAAAACTCACTTCAAGCAATTAATAGGTAGGAAGGAGACTCTCCTAAAATTTATTTATTATTATATTAATTAATGTCTCAGGTGTTACTTTCTTATTAATTCAGTTTTGCGCGTTCTTTTTTGCTGAAATAAATTTTGTAGTAGAAACACAGTCAGAGAAAGAAAAACCAGGCCAATTCAGTCAAAATACAAACCAGAACCATCATTTTCCATTGGACAAAACGCATTTACCTCTTGCTTTCCCACTCAGCTGCACATGATGTGTTTTAAATATTACCTACTATATCACCAATATAAGGGTCAATAGCTTCCTTCTTTCACACTGTTTTATATGCATACACAGAAAGACAACATAAGTTCACAATAAATGTCAGATTTTTTGAAATAATATTTTTTATTGAAAATATAAATAGTAATTTTTTAAAAATCTAATTTGCCCTCTTTTTCGCCTTCTTTCATACAAATGACACGGGCAACAGGTTAAATCTATTGTTTTATTCTGGGGTGGTGCTTCAGGAGCTGCGAGATTAACGAAAATTTATTAAATAGTTTTAAACTATTTATTAATTTATTAAATAGCGTAATCTGAATGTTTTGTGGATGGAATTTCCTATGAGGATTTGGGGCAACTTATTATGGTGGCTCTTGTTCTTGTTCTCCTTCTGACTATTTGATTCGTGGTTTTCAATGGGTATTTGTTTCCTTCGATTTGTGGTTTATTTCAAAGGATGCATGAACCTCTCTTATATACATTGCATGACCCTCTAATTCATTTCTTTTTCTTTTCTTTTTTTACCTTGTTTGTTCACTCATCCACCACATTCAGATTACGCTATGCCACCTTATTGCCTAGTTTCTAGTACCAAAATTTTGTTGGTTTCATAACTTTGTACTCAAATTTTCTTTTGACCTTCAGATACCTTTGGATCACTAATAACACTTTAAGCATTTCTCCATTTCATCTACCTAGCTTTTATAATTATATCCTTTTACTAAAAAAATATATTTTAAAAATTCAAGGATTTTCCAAACTACCCAATCTCAAGATGGGAATTTTTTTTTTGGTTTTGAGAAGTTAAAGAAAATAAAAGATAACTAGAGATAAAGAAGAGTCGGATGATTTTTTGGAGTGATGGCAAGAAAAAAAGTTTTAAAAAAATTATCTTATTTGATTGTATACAAAGGAGAAAGAAAAAAATTGTACATAATAAAAAAATAAAAGTGCCATTAATAAACAAAAAGTGTTAAAAAAAGGGTAATTTAATTTTTAAAAATATATGATTCACCTTTTCCATTTTTCTCTCAAAATCAGATGGAACACATTTAGCTTCTTAAAAAACTTGAACCTTGAAGCGATTTTAAAACCAGCTTCTTCTTTATTACTTGTGGACTTGAAATCAGTTTTGGAATCAAATAGGTTTTGGACCCAAAATCCGTTTAGAAACAGGTTTCAGATTGGTTCACATCCAAACCACTTTATAGAAAATTATGGTTTGGTTTGTATTTGGTTGGGCTTTTTCAAAATCCAACCATACCCACTCCTACTGTCTAAATTCAGCATAAACATGAACGTGGAATGAGTTGCCATGAATTGATTTTGTTTAAAATAGCAAGTTTTTGGCTCACTGAGCTGCACTACATTGATCAAACAGCACATTTCATGTCCTTATCAAAAGCAAAAACTAAGATATCTTATGATAAGGGTATTAAACTGTTTCTCTTGTTGAATATATTTCATCAAAAAGTTAAAAATTTGTGTATAAAGTTTGTGATTATTATTATTATGACTAGTTTCAGCATGGTACTAGCATTGCAAAATTGTCTTTGAACCAACAGGCGTTGCAGATTGGATACTGATAGGAAAGATTTTTCTCTCTCTCATGAATTGCTAGAGCCCTGATCTCTTTGGATTTATATCCTTTTCAAGCTAAAAAGAGCGAAAATTTATCAAACAGCTTCTACTTTATATATTTCATCTTTGAAGTAAGCTAAACTGAGCCAAACATAGCCTTTTAGATGTGATGAAACTAACATGTTTAAAAAGTGCAGGTTGTGTTTAGGACTATGGTGTTCCACCCAAACCACAAGAGCAATGCAGTATATGTCTTGACATTCTCAACGAACAAATGGAGCCCAGCACTAACCACTTTCAAGGTTTGATTTTACCCATCTTGATATTTATTAGTTTTGCTTAAGGATTGCAATTGTATGCAACTTTCTGATAGAAGCTAGATGGGTTTTCTAAATCACCATGTGATATTTTGTTTGTAATAAGCTAAATTAATGCATATGTGTACTGGTATATAGTAGAAGCTGTGTTGAGTAATCGCTTGTTACGGCTGAAATAAAAAACTTCAAAGCCTGTTGTGCTACTGGGGACTGATGGTTGAGAAATAGAAGCTTATGAGGAAATATCTGATGTGTAAAATTTGTGTATTAGGATATGCATAACTGCTTTTCATTTTCTTAAGTTCAGATTTGTGTATGATTGTCTGTTCAAAGTTTCCAACTTGTTAACTGTTGATTTGCACAGTGGTGGTACAATCTCCTTGATCAGCTGATTATTTTAGGTCCTTTAGTCAATTTGCTCATTTTTTTTATGGATCCCAACCCCAATGATCCACTTGTACCTGAAAGTACACTAAGTACAAGACAGAAGTATGCCTTGGAATGACCATCATAGTGGGGTTAGCTGTTCAAATGAAGCAGCAAAATCATAATTTATGTAAAAGAACAAAATATACTTCTAATGAATTTGAATGCTTGCTTTTATTAATAGTGGAACTGGTAAGAAGAAACCTGGTTGCCATTTTGTGAATAGTTTCTTTGCAATTTCTGGTGATCGAAGAATGAAGTGTTATGCAAACTTTTCTGCTTGTTGAACTGATATATTCCAAACAAGTAACAGTGATATAATCATTACAAATTAAGCAGTAAGTACTTGCATTATAGAAAAGAAAAATGATGAAAACTCATTAGATGTGAGTATAATATAGCACCAAGTTTTATGCAGTTTCTTTTTTTCAATCTTTTGGTGTTTCTTCCCCAACACGAGTCATGCATTAGGGGTAGACAACAACTCATTTTATTCTCTAAAATCTCAGTTAGACATTAGTTTGTTATATGGTAGAAGTGGATGTTGCAAATACCTAGGTATTTGATAGCTAGGAAGGTCTGTCTTTCAACATTATTTTGATGGAGACAGTCCAACCAAAAATTTGTCACAATAATGAGGAAAATATTTGTCCTTTGGCATAAAAGGAAAGTTAAATCACTTGGGTGTGTTTATTGTGAGCTTCATACTTGGAAAATGAAAGGCATGTTATGGATATGTTCAATTATAAGGGACTTAAGATTTTTTGTTTACCCGATCGATAAGGTTTAACTGGCACTTCATGTTGCTATGATGTGATGCTGAAGAGGAAGCTCTTCACATGTTTTCTTCCCACTTTATGAATTCATATCATTCCTATTAAAAATATCGTAGAGCCATGATTAGTTTCCTATGTTCTCCTGCCAAATCATGCAATGAAATTGGACAGATATCTAAATATAGTGGTGCATGAAAAATGCATGGTTGAAAAGTTCTAGCATTGGATCAGAAGTATGACACGTTTGTAGGGAGGTCATAACAAGTTGATACAATTGAGATCAGTGGTTAATATTAAATTGAAAGACTTGGAAGAAAAGTTAGCAAAAAGAGTAATCAAAAGACTCTTAACTTGGTTGACAAGCATTTTGCGGGGTCACTCTCCTTGTGAAATGTTTTGGCTCTCCCAGAAGGATAACACCACACGTGTTTGACTATCTACCAGGCTTATTTTGCCTTTGCTTCTTCTTCAAGCCAAAGGCTAACTAAACCTTTAAATTAAGATCCATCACATATATATATATATATATATATATATATATATATATATATATATATATATATATATATATATATATATATATATATGATAAAACATGTTTTTAATTGGTTAAACTACTACTTATTGATCCAACTTATCCTTCTTCACAACATGTTTTTAAAATTAAGATGGACTCAAGGTTATCCCCTACACTCACACTCATCATTGTTGTTTCCTATTCATGGAAGTTATAGCCATTACACGTTGCTAGAAACAATTCATCTTGATGTTCACAGTTTAAAATGGTAAGAGCTTAAAGTGGTGCTTGAAAAATAAAAACTTATTAAAAACTATTTTATGGACACGTGATAAATTAAAATAGGATTAGTAATGAAAATATTTATATATTAAAAAATTGTATTTTAAAGTAATTTGAAATATTTAATATATGAAAACTTATATATATATATATATAATAGATAACCACTTGCTTTAAAATTTGAGAAAATAATTTCTCCATAAAATTCCATTTAAAAACGACAACTGATATTAAAAGAAGTGTCCATGTCTGATTCTGATAATTGGAATTAAAAAATAAAAAAGACAGACGTCTTGACGATTGAGAATCGTTTGTTTGCCGTTCGAACAAAGCAGAGGTTGTCAGATGGGACGAGGGGAGACATGGGTGAGTCATGGTCTTCCAGCTTTCTGTTTTGTTTTTATTTTATTTTATGCTATAAAAACAACTTTTTAACATTTTTTTATTTTTGATAAAACAAGAAAAATAACAGTATATCAAATATAACAAGTAACTATTCATAATTTATCTTTTCAATTGTTTTATAACCTTGGAAGAAAAGAAATAGTAGATAATTTAATCTTTTATATATATGTTTAAAGGAGTTTAGTTTCTCTTCTAACGAAAAAAATATATATATACTTTGAAATAATAGTTTACAAATTCTATATATGAGCACACTTTGTTATGGTTTATTTAAAATAGAAGAAATAAATTTTCATATTAATTCCTCTAACTTAAAAGTTGTAAATATTATATAAATCTGAATTTAGTTATGCATTTTATTATTCAACTCCAAATTTTTACGACTTTTATTATTCGATATTTTTTTACTTCTTACCGTTAATATCATATATTATTGATCTATTAGATTCATGAGGACATTTTAAAATGTCATTTTATAAAATTTGATAAGAAAAACATTTTTTTTTATTTTTCTTTTTACACATCTCGATTATAAAAAGGATAAGATAAACAAAATTTTAATAATAAAATATTTGGAAGAAAAGTGGGTGGTAAAATATACAAATGGATGATAATTAAAATATGCATGTTCGTTGAATTTAACGGTACAATAATCTATTATTATTAAATAAGAATAATATAATTAATTTTTAGTTTATTTAATTATTCTATTAAATAAATATGTATTATATAAATATTAAATAATATAATCTATAGTTAAAAAATGATAAAAATTATCATTAAAAATATAACAAAAATTTATCATTTTAATAGCATACGTGGGTTTATGTATGCGTAAACCCTGATTTAATCATAAGAATAAGAATAAAAATCTTGTTTGTTTGTTTGATACTGTGTATGAAAAGATTTGTGAAGAATTTAATCACCATAATTAATTCCACCAACACTGATCACTTTGTTATGCTTCTTTTTATCAAATCCCATTATGTATCATTAATGCAATCCTTTTACTTCTTTCTATTTTTCTCTAGGTATCAATTAGCATTTAAGAGTCCATGGATGGTTTTCCATGAAATCAGAAATGATTTAAATGGTCAGAGTTTCTGCATTTGCAGATTTCTAGTCGCACATACAATTGGGGTAAGTTTAGCGTTGACGTGGTTTGAGATAAAAAAAAGGTTAGACAAACACAAGTTTCTCTGCCACCACACAATTTTGTTTCGGTTGGTGAAATGAAATCCGTGCATAATGATATTTCTACTTTTTGCTGCAGATAACAAATGCATACAGCGGAGCAGTGTCCTGCGAGCTCCGGGTAGACAAATTCTGCACAAGCTTGTACTGAAAACACTCTGTTACAGCCTCATCATGAGTTGGATTAGCCCAACCCAACACTCTCATTGCTAAATTATATATATATATATATATATATATATATATATATATATATATATATATATATATATATATATATATATATATATATTTATTCATTTATTTTTCAAAATTTGTTTTCCAGTATATACAAGTTTTCCTCCGAGGCTTGTTCAGAGTGGTGGAAGAGAAGAGGGACAATGAAATGTGAGGATTATCAAATGTCTCTTATTACAAACATTTAAGTATATCGCCGAATCCTTGTCCTTTGTTCAATTTCAATTTTTTTATCTTCTTTTGAAAATTAAAACAACACACAAATTTGAAGAAGAATGAAGTAACAAGAAGATGTTTAGATAGAATCCAACAAAGAAAATGACATCTTACCATGGAGAAAAAAGAGACGAGGAAAAAAATAATAGAATCAACTAAAAAAATTTTGAAGAAACAAACACAATGAATGAATAAAATGTGAACTATCAAGTGTGAAAAAAAACCCTACTAAACTTATTATTTCATTTATTATAATAATTGACATTATAATAAAAATCGATATAAAAAATTACTCAATATTATAATTAAAAATTTGCTTATTATAATAAATATTTGTTCTCATTATAATATTAATGGTTATAAAATAGTTTTTTCCACTCGTCTTAAATAAACATACTCAGTAATGACAAAAAGAAACTTAGCTTCTCCAAACTTTACTTGAAATTAGATATTAATGTAGTATACCATCATGAAGCTGAGTATATCTCTCTTAAAATATTTTGTCAGACTTACATAATTGAACTCTTCTGAAGATATTTCAGAACCACAATTATCTGTGTTAGAATTTAATGATAGGTGAGCGTCGTCACCGTCCACCACCCCCTTTTTGGTTTCATATTTTGCTGATTTTCGTCTCTGACGGTTGTAGGTTCTTGAACTGCGTTGGCGGAAACTAGAAAGAAGCCTGACACACACATTCACACCAAAGTCGGGGCTGGTCAATTGCGTTTAGCGTGGTGCGAGCGAGCTAAGCTTGACCTACGTGTAAAGTTGGGAGAGTTTTGATTGGACCCTCTTTCTCTAACCCCTCACAATGAAACCAAACATTGGGAGTAATAATAAAATAGGTTGAAAAGTCATAAATAAATTTCACAAGAGGCATCGTCACCCATGCCCCATTAGGAAGCATGCCCTTGTGCATATGAGGCCCGCTGGAAGTAAAAGAACAAAATGAAATTTGGTGGGGTTTAAAAGGAGATGATTATGAATTTTGAAGGGTAAAAGGTGAAAGGGTTAATTGGGGAGAGTGGGGGTAGGAATATGTTAGTGAGTGGGATTTTGATGCAGAATAAGAGTGGGATTTTAGTTGAGGGAAACGGACATTGGAGAAGGAAGGGAAACTTGGGTTGGGACACGTCACCACTGGCAGCTGGAACATGGAACCTATAATTTTTCTACTCCCGACAGGGACACATTCACACTCTCTCTCTCTCTCTCTCTCTCTCTCTCTCTCTCGAGTCACCACCCTCCACTCACTCACACATGCTCACACTCCCTACCTCACTCCAATGACTCCAATTCAATTCCCTCTTCAATCCAAGACCCCACTCACACGAGAAAAATGTTTTTTTCTCAATCATCCAATGCAGAAACACTACCCCGTGCACTATAAATACCTTCCCTTTACCCTTTCATCTCGTTTTCTTCTCCGTTTCTCTCCAACCCTCCACTCTGTCTCCACTCTGGTTACCACTACAAACTCATTTTGGCTCTGCCTTCCCGCCAAAACATCCTCTGTGATCACCAAGGATTCGAGGTTCACCCTTGAATTCTTGAACCTTCTTGTTGTTCGGTATCTTCTTCACACACTCAGTCACCTTTACCCCGCGTGTGAGAGATCCTTGCAGCAAAAGTGGAGTGAGATTTCATTTGAAGCGCATCCAAGGTTGGCCATATTCTCTTCTCTTTCTCTCCCTCTAGGGGAATATATCTCTAGAAGAAAAGCAAAAGTTGTTAGTTGTTACCCATAAACATCTTGGTTTCTTTCTGCATCACCACCACCAAAAGTTCTCAAACGTCTCAATTCCCCCAGCATATACATCTACTTGTCCACTTTTCCCCCATACTCTCCAAATTCTCTCACTCTTTAAACCCACTCTCCATGCACTCCACCACCACACCACAACCTTCCCTCTTCCCCCTCTTTACTCTCACACTCACTCAAACATAAACAACCTTGACAAAACGTCACACTCTTCACTCTTCAATACTTCAAAATTTTCAATCTCCCTCTGTCAAACTTTCAGGCATGTCCGTACACTCGACACTAAACCTCTACCCCATGAACCTCGCCACCCCAAGTTCCCATTTTGATAATTACCCACCCTGCAAAACCAAGACCAAAACCCAAAGGAGGCTTCTTCGGATCATAATAACCGATCACGACGCCACTGATTCTGACTCCGACCACGAAAAACAGCAACAACAGAACAACCAAACTAAAACAACAAAAGTGAAGAGGGAAATTACCCAAATCAGCATGAACCTTCCACTATCGGATAGCTCCTTTTCTTCTTGTTCGTATTACTCTGCTTCAGCTTCTGCTTCCACTTGTTCCTCGGAACAAGCCTCAAAGTGCAAGAGACCCAAAAAACAGACACCGTCCTCCGCCGCTGCCAGCCGTCGCAGCAAGTTCCGCGGCGTTCGTCAGCGGCCGTGGGGGAGGTGGGCCGCCGAGATCCGCGACCCCAACCGCCGGAAACGCCTCTGGCTGGGAACTTTCGATACGGCAGAGGAAGCCGCCACCGAATACGACAAAGCCGCCGTCAAACTGAAGGGTCCCAACGCCGTCACCAACTTCCCCCTCACAACGCCGCCTCCGGCGGCGTCGTCCCCCGTCGTCCCCACCGATAGCTTCAGCACCGACGGCGGCGCGTCGTACTCCGACTTGGTGTCCTCGCCGACGTCCGTTTCAACCTACGACTGCGACTCGACGCCGTTCGACAGCTACCGTTACGGCGACGTGGACGCGCTCGGGTTCCACATCGACGCGCCGTTAAGTTTTGCGGACGATAACGTCGCTCTGACGTGTCATCACGGTAAGGAGGAGGAGGCATTTGATGAATTCGATCTCGACGAGTTCATGACGTGGCTTCACTAAAAATCTCAGGAACAGTTTGGTCCTTATGCCGTGTTTGGTCATGGCTACAGTGTGTAAGTTGAAATTCCGAAAGTGTCCCTCTAGTTGTTGGAGTTTGAAATTTTGTCGTACTCGTTGAAACGTTGGAAGAGTGTAGAGTTGTAGTCCCATTTTCCTACCACATGAAACGGCGATTCTTTGTGTCGTATTTGGCAGAATTTAATTTGTAATTATCATGAAAAAATATTAAAAAATTCTAAGTATCATCAAACCAGGAAATATGGTGTTATGAGCTAAGGAAGGATGATATTGTAATTTGGTATATAAATTTTGATAATTATTCAAAGAGATTTTGAAGTTATCTCTATAGAATGATGGGTTATTGTAAAAGGACACATTGATAAATTTTGGCTGCCGAATCCAAACTATCAATGTTCATATTTGAATGATTATATTTCCATTATCAGATATTTGAAATTTATTTATTATTATTTTGTTTGGTTTAATTGATATCTTACTTTATGAGTTATTTTTTTGCATGCTTGGATGAAATTAGTAGCTGATGGCTCTTTCGGAAAGCACAAAAATCATACCAAAATCTTAGTGATGTTTTAAATAAAATGCTTTATAATAAGATTCTTCCAAGTGGGACTCTAGTGATTTTTGAAGTATACGATGTTGATTTATCTTGCTAAAGAATAAATATTAAAATGCATATTCCAAAAATAATTGACTTGAAAAGAAGAAAGAAAAGCCCTGAACAACTATTCAAACTTGGTTTCTGGTATATGTTTTTTAAAAGTTAGCTAATAAATTCTTAGTGTAATCATGTAATATTACATCTAATCGCGAATTGAAACACATGAATGATTCACCATTCCATAAACACAAGAGAATGTCGGTTCATTGAATTTTACAATTATAGGAATAGTTTTTGTTCTTTTGTTTCATATTTTTATATAACGAGTATTTTATAAATTACATGTTTTTTAATCCTTAAAATGATCTCAAAATTGTATGTTTATTTATTATGCTGTACAAATAGCCTTTTTCTATAATTAGTATTTGCATTGTTAAAATAGTAATGGTTTTGTTGCACTGTATAGCAAAATTTTCGAAATACATATATAGTTAAATGCGATATTTTACAAAAATGATCTACTTATATTTACAATTTGTTTGCGCCAAATGTGTTTACTATTCTCTCCATATTATTTGAGATGGAAAGTTCCGAGCGAGGTAAAATCATTCCGTACAAATTAGAGGGTTAAATAATTTATAAATGAGCATCACTAGTATTTTAATATCTTAAACTCTGTTTGAAAATAATATTATATTCTTATCAAAGATTGACTTATGTATCTTATTAACAAAAATTTCATTGAATTAATTCTTTAAAATTATTGCAATAAATGAATTATTGGATAAAATTTATTTTATAGATCAATTTTCAATACTAAAATAACAAAATGATGGATTCAACATTTTCTACAACACGTAGATAAATATGATTTTAAAATTAAAAATTAAAAATATTATGCAAATAAGGAAGGAATTATTTCTTTATTTTTTTTTCAATTTGAAATTAATAATTAAAAGAAGAAGCAAAAAGCAAGACGAGTGAGGTGACACAGGACGCCGCTCGTGATAATTTTGTTTTTGTGAAAACGGCATTTTTGTGGTTCAGAAAAAGATAATTTATAAACATATAATTTATAAACATATTCCTCTTACAGTTTTGGATTTTAAAACAAAAGATATTAAAAATAAGTTGCCTTTACTTAATATCTTAACAAAATTGGATTAGTTGGGGTTATTTTTTATGTTTCAAAAACTGAAAAATATTTGCGTAAAACTTCTAAAATAGAGAAGATGTCTGAAGTAATTTATTTAAATAAAAAAATATTGCTGACATAGTTAAGTTAGTTGGAATTTTTTTATAGGATAAACATGGTGATACCTTAAAAAAAATATGAGTAATAAGGATCTTTTATTCTATTCAACATGGATTTTAAGGATTAAGGTATAAGATTTTAAAACAACTTATTTTATATTTACACAATTTTTTTCAACATTAAGTACTTATAAAAAATCACACTTTTAAATTTTGTTATTTGTATTTGAATTTATTACGAATGAACAAGTTATTAAAATATTTAAAATAGTATTCTAAATGTAATTGTTAGTATTGAAATATTATTTTTACTATTGAAACTTAAAGTTTTAAATTTAAGATTTTGACGCGTTTAAATTGTCCAAAAATAATTATAGAAAAAAAAAAATCAGGCGTTGAGAAATGTCTTTTCTGTGTGTAGTATTAAACCCTATAAGTTTTTATTTTTATTTTCTTCCTAATTCTATATCACTCTAGTGCAATAGTTAAGTGAAAATAATTTAAGGAATAATTAACATTAAATTAATTGATAATTAAATAATCTCTATAATTTTCATCATTTAAAGTTTTGATATTCTTGGTTATTTTTGTAGTTAGATTGATTATTATTGTTGTTTTAAAATAAAAATATATCTATTGGGCAAAACTTTTGACAATGAACAAGTGAAACAAAGATGATACATTTATTATTTAATATGTTATTAATCTCTGATATAATTATTTTATGATTTTGATTTCTTAAAAAAAATTGATTTTTTGTTTCAAAATTTATTATGTTGTTCCGGATATTAGGATATAGACATAAAATGATAACATTGGAGATAAAATGTCATGTTAATGGGATATATGACGTCTTTACATACAACCACAACGTCACATATTTATACCATGTTATAACTCAAATAAAAAATTAAAAATCAGGGGAAAAATATTTTTATGTTAAGTAAATCAAAAGAGTGAAAATTTGTAAGAGAGATCAAAATAATAAAATTTTAATATATTATATAAAACATAATTTATAAAATTAATGTTTATTATTGATATATAATTTTAATAATATTTAAAAAAAAACACATGAATAACTTTAACATGGTAAAAATTTGTATTAATATATACTGAAAAATAATATCAAACTATATTATAAATTTTGGGTTTCATTTATGATATTTGTGTCGAGTATTTAAAAGAAGATTCACTCAAAAAAAAAATTTAATTAACATTATATTTCAAATTCAAATATTAAAATAGTAAGTTATAAGTTTTTTTTATATATTGTTTCATTTTTTATTTTTAATCAATATGACTTAGATTCATATTTACATTTTTCAACTATTCGTTTGAGACTAAATTAAAAAATATATATATAATAAAAGAAAATATATCTTAAAAAAATAAAAAGTATGAATTATATATTTTTATATAAATTCAAATTTTTATTTTCATTTAATTAAATTATTTTAAAATAAATATTTTTTATTATAGACTTTAATATTTAAACATCATCTTTTTATCGTATAAATATTTTAAATTATCTGGAGAAATGTCTAACCTTCTAAATTATTTTCCGCCCAAACAAAGTAAAGGTATCACTAATGTTTAATATACATTTTTATAATTTTGGTGAAACTTAAAAAATTATTATTTATTTTCTTTCTCTAACTAAAAGTTAGTTTTTTTTTTCATTCTCTAATTTATAGTTAAAAAATAACATTTTTTTTCTGTATCACCAACCATTTTATTAAGGACAGGAGAACCATGAATTCGGCTCATCTTGAATATCTTACATTAATTGAAATTTGGTATTGGGCGCAAGTCATGATAAATACCAAATGTATATTAATAAAGAAAAGTAAGTTGTAATAAATCTGAAAAATAGATATTTTTATGAGCCGATCTACATTTTAAGTCTAAGTAATTAATCGAAGAGACTATGAATAAAAAAATAAAAAAAATCAAAACATTGACTACATCTTATGCACATGACTAACCAAATATTTATTTCATATTTGACAATGGCTTGAGTCTTATAATCCCATGCTGATTTCATAACATAATCATGGCCCTAGAGGGTGTGTATTCAAAATTAAGGTCCTAAAGTTACATAATAATCAACAAAAAGTTCAACAACTTGCAAGCTTTGTAATTAAATACCATAAATTAAAATAATGTTCATGGGAGAAAAGCAAAACAACACTTCATTGCTCATAAAAATGTATCAATATCAGGTGTTGCTTATTTTTTATTTAATAAAACAACTTTTGAATTTAAAAAAAAAAACTTATCTTGTAATCAATAATAACAATAAAAAAAATGATTTGTGTTATCAAAATTAAATTTAATTTCAATGCCGTGAAATTAATGATGAAACGGACTATGTATGTCTTTAGCTTGTTCCCATTTTTTGTGCGTTACTTTTCCTTTTTGTATTTTTAATTATTCGAATTAGGAAGATATTACTAATGAAAATTGAGAAGGCGAAGTACGTTAATATTCAACCATGTCGCATCATATTTCTCTTTACGCTTTAGCAATCAAATTTATAGTTGACGTCCAAACTAACGTATACAATGTTTTTCTTTATCTACTTGATTCAACACTCTTGTTAATCTATAATTGCTCCGCTCTATAATTTTGACTTCGTACAATATGAAGTCAGTAAAGTGGAAAAAAAAAATATAGATAAAACTTTTTATTTACACCCATTTTTCTCTAAATTTATTTCTGTTATATTGAAAGCCAAGATCAATAGAAAAAATGCATATATTTAATTATCCCAGTCATATTATATTAATCGATAAATTAAAAAAAAAGTTATACTAAATCATGAATAAATAAAGAATTTGATATTCTGCGAACAGATATTAATGATCACAAAAATCCTGGAGAGAAAAAAATAGTTGTAATTATCATGAAGCTCTTCTTGCCTTAGATATGTGAGGATGTTGATTGGGCCAGTTGAGCAAGACCCTTTCACAACCCCATTTTTTTACTGCAATTATGGTTCCCCTGTCCCCTCCCTCCTTTTCAGTTTTTACATGCGTCAAGATGAGACCAAATCTAAGTTTGATTGACCAAAGCTTAAAGACAAGTAACAAGTGGGCCCACGGGCCCATGAGCCCACCAATAG